TTGAATTTGTGGACTGAGTAAAGCAGATGGGCCTCTCCAATGTGGCTATTATCCAATCTCTGAGGGCCTAAACAGAACAAAAAGGCAGAGGAAAGTCGGACCTGCCCTCCCTCTACCTCTGTGCCTGCCTGATCTGGGACATCGATCTTCTCTTGCCCTCCACACTCCTGGTTCTCACACCTCTGGACTTGTACCTGAATTTACATCATTGGCCCTCTGGCTCTAAGGTCTTCAAATGACACTACCAGCTTTCCTGGGTATCCAGCTTGCAAATAGCAGCTCATGGGACTTTTCAGTCTCCATAATTGCATGAGCCAACACCTTTTAATAAATCTCTTATATGTGTCTCCTGTTAGTTCTGTTTCTCTGTTGAATGCTAATACAAGTAGCTTTGTAGTAAGTTTTAAAATCGGGAAGTGTGAGTTATCCAACTTTATTCCTCTTTTTAAATTATTATTTTGCCCTAGCTGGTTTGGCTCAGTGGGTAGAGCATTGGCCTGAAGGGTCCCCAGTTTGATTCTCGTGAAGGGCACGTACCTCGGTTGCAGGCTCCATCCTAGCCCCAGTTGAGGCACATGCAAGAGGCAACCAATCCATGTGTCTCTCTCATATTGATGTTTCTCTCTGTGTCTCTCCCACTCCCTTCCACTCTCTCTAAAAATCAATGGAAAAATATCCCCAGGTATTTTTGAGGATTACCCCAAAAAATATTGCTTTAGCTACCTGGGACTCCTTATATTTTCATATGAATTTGAGAATCAGCTTTTCCATTTCAGCAAAAGAAGTTGTTGGAATTTTGATAGGGATTGCACTGAATCTATAGATTGCTTTGGGTGGTATTGACATCTTAATAATACTAAGTTTTTTTTGTTTTGTTTGTTTTTTTAAATATATTTTATTGATTTTTTACAGAGAGGAAGGGAGAGAGATAGAGAGAGTTAGAAACATCGATGAGAGAGAAACATTGATCAGCCGCCTCCTGCACATCTCCTATTGGGGATGTGCCCGCAACCCAGGTACATGCCCTTGACCGGAATCGAACCTGGGACCTTTCAGTCCGCAGGCCGACGCTCTATCCATTGAGCCAAACCGGTTTCGGCAATACTAAGTTTTTTAATCCATGAACACAGGATGTCTTTCCATTTATTAGGTCCTCTTTAATTCCTTCAGCACTGTTTTTTTGGTGTTCAATGTACAAGTCTTTCACTTCCTTGGTTAAATTTATTCTTTGGCATTTTATTATTTTTGATGTTGCTGTAAATGGAATTGTTTTCTCAATTTCCTTGTTAGAGTGTTCTGTTGCTAGTATATGGAAACAAAAGTGATTTTCTGTGTTGATCTTGTACGAAGGTGGTTGGGAAAAGCAGTGGGTCAGGTCTCAAAGGATCTTAGTTGGATCAGTACCTTACTTGGATCTTCCAGTACCGGGGTCTTGATTTTCTCATTTGATAAATGGAGATAAATGGAGATTTTCTCATTTGATAAATGCCTTGCTTATCTCAGTGGACTGTCCACAGGGACAAAGGAAGCAGGACTTAATTTTTTAAAAATATACTTTTATTGATTTCAGAGAGGAAAAGAGAGGGTTAGAGAGATAGAAACATCAATGATGAGAGAGAATCATTGATTGGCTGCCTCCTGCACGGCCCCTACTGGGGATTGAGCCTGCAACCTAAGCATGTGCCCTTGGCCGGAATTGAGCCTGGGACCCTTCAGTCTGCAGGCTGATGCTCTATCCACAGCCAAACCGGTGAGGGAAGGATTTAATTTTCAAATGTTTGTTTACTTGAACTCTGAGACGAAGCCAGGCCTTCTCAGGGGGAACAGGAAACAGTGGGAGGGGGGCACCTTTTGTAGATTTATGGGGGCCTATGTTGATTGTCTCCATGTTTGGGTAGGGAGAGGGAGCTACTGGCATTTAGTAGACGAGAACTAAGGGTGCCAGATGTTCTACAACTGTGGGGTGGCACCAAACAACAAACAACAAACTCCCACAACCCTCAAGACTCTCAGAGTCCTTCCAGACCTGCGTTCAGGTGTGGCACCTCGCTCCTCACGACCCAGGTCCACTTTATACATCAGCAAAGCCTCACTTACCTCTCTCTTTCCTTCTTTGTATCTCATTTGTAATTCATTCATGACTTTAACTTAGGGCCTAGAACCGCGATGGTGAACCTATGACATGTGTGTCAGAGGTGACACTCGAACTCATTTTTTTGGTGGATTTTTCTTTGTTAAATGGCATTTAAATATGTAAAATAAATATCAAAAATATAAATTTTTTTTTTACTATGGTTGCAAGTATCAAAAAATTTCTATATGTGACACGGCACCAGAGTTAAGTTAGGGTTTTTCAAAATGCTGACACGCCGAGCTCAAAAGGTTCGCCATCACTGGCCTAGAACAATGACTGGTATTCAATGTGTTACCTAAACAAATACGTAAATGCCTATTTTCCTATTGGGCTGTTTATATATATTTTTTATTCATTGGCAGAAAGTTTGTCTATTAGGGCTATATCAGGCAGGGCCAAATCAGCAGACAAGCCATACCAGTAACTTAAATAGAGAAAAGTAAAGATAAAGAATGTTTAACTAATAAAAGGTGGTTAACTACTAGAAGGGGGTATAAGAAGACTCTAAGGCAGGGATCAGCAAACTTTTCCTGTAAAGGACCAGGTAGCAGATATTTTAGACTTTGTGTAATACCAGGCACAAGCAAATATATTACGTAAGTAATTATGGAACAACACAGAAATCAAATGTTCACTTTTGTATTGATAAAATTAAACATAGAATAATTGAGTATACGCTTTGAAATACGGTTCCTTATTACGCAGAATGGGATCCATTTTGTTGGGATAACATTTTGCTCAGTTGAAGTTCAAATGCAGAAACCATTCTTAGAGGAAGGGCAGAGATATTTGGCCTGCAGGCTGAACATGAGAGGGACGGACAGTTGGAAGAGGGGCTCCCCACGTGGCGGATTCAGGCCGCTGCAGAGAACGTGGATGCCGCGGGTGACACAGCCCACCACTGACAAAGAAACTTGTCAGAGGCCCTGGGAGGCAGCCGGATCGCTCACACACACAGAGGCACAGGCATGCTGACCCCGGAAACTGGCAACCGTGGAAAAAGCAGTCCCCGCCTCTTGCTCCAAGTTTTAGGTGTCCCTCCAGCGCCCTCTACTGGCAGACTAACATCAAGCCAACTGGCAAACGAGATGAGCCAGGGTCCGATTTCACAAAGCTGAGCAAGAAGTGGCTTGCAGGTAAGAGGCAATAATTTGATAAGTGGCACAAGAGATACTAATACAGAGTGTTGCAAATATTTCCCCAATATGTAGCTTGCCTTTAAAAGTATTTCCTTATTGAAAAGGTAATAAAGAGTCTCATGTAGGAGAAAATTTAAAATAGAAACAAGTGTACCCTGCCCAGCGGGTGTGGCTCAGCTGCTGAGTGTCGACCCAGGAACTAAGAGGTGGTGCTGGGATTCCAGGTTAAGGCACATGCCCAGGTTTCGACCTCGATCCCTAGTAGGGGGTGTGCAGGAGGCAGTGATATTTCTCTCTCTCTACCCCTTTCCCTTCCTCTCCCTCCCCCCCGCCAAAATCATATTTAAAACAAGAAATAAATGTACACCTTTTTTGTTGTTGTTACTCCTCACCCGAGGATTTTTTTTTTTTTTTTTTTTTTTGTATAGCAAAGGTGGAAATTTATTAAAGTACAGACTCCCACATGGGGAGAGGGAAAGAGTCCCACAGAACTGACTCCCATGTAGGGAGGGGGAAGAGACCCATCCAGGATATTTTTCCATTGATTTTTAGGGAGGGTGGAAGAGAGAGGGAAAGACAGAGAGAAACATCCATGTAAGAGAAACACATCGATTGGTTGCTTCCTGCACGAGCCCAGACCAGGGCCCAGCCAGGGAGGAGCCTGCAACCAAGGTATGTGCTTTTGACTGGAATCAAACCCGGGACCCTTTGGTCCGCAGGCCCACACTCTATCCACTAAGCCAAATGGGCTGGGGCTAAATGTACACTTTGAAAAGTTAGTCTAGTCCTGGCTGGTGGGTGACTCAGTAGTTAGAACACAGGCCTGTGCACCCCAAGGGTCTTGGGTTCCATTCCCAGTCAAGGGCAAGTACTTGGGTTTCAGGTTCCATACCTGGCCCAATAGGGGTGTGTGCAGGAGGCAGCCAATCCATGTGTCTCTTTCACATGGATGTTTCTCTCTCTCTCTGTCTCTCCCCCTCCCTTCCACTCTCCCTAAAAATATCAATGGAAAAATATCCTCGGGTGAGGATTAACAACACAAAATAACAACAACAAGAAAAACAAACAAGAAAACAACTATCAAAAACCCTATTTTTCGGCACCGGTGAGGTCAAGATAGCCCCGGTGAGGTTGAGACAACCCTGGTGGGGTTGCAACGGCCCCGGTGAGGTTGAGACGGCCCGGGTGAGGCTGGGACAGCCCCGGTGAGATTGAATCGGCCCTGGTGAGGTTGAGATGGCACTGGTGAGGTTGAGACAGCCCTGGTGAGGTCAAGACAGCCCCGGTGAGGTTGAAATGGCCCCAGTGAGGTTGAATTGGCCCTGTGAGGTTGAATTGGCCCCTGTGAGGTTGAGGCGGCCCCTGTGAGGCTGAGACGGCCCCTGTGAGGCTGGGATGGCCCCTGTGAGGCTGAGATGGCCCCTGTGAGACTGAGACGGTCCCTGGGAAACTGAGAAAAATACCACATGAACTCACTCATTTATGGATAATAAGGACCATTATAGACTGATGAACAAAAATGGATACAGAGGCAGAGCAGCATTGAGCAGACTGTCAAACTACAGTGGGAAGCCTGGGGAGGGTTGGGGGGGGCGGGTAGGAGATCAACCGAAGGACTCGTATGCATGCATATGAGAACAACTAATGGACACAAGACACTGGGGTGTGGGGGAAGCCAGGGGAATGTCAAGGGGGAGAAAAAAGGAGACATGTGTAATACTCTTTGTAATACTTTAAGAAATAAAAAAAACCACCCTATTTTCCTCTACTAGGGTGGTTTTCCTTTTCCTTCTACATTTATGTCTTTAAACCACCTGGGTTTGGTATTTACACAGAGTCTGAGTTGAGAACCTAAACTTGTTTTCTTGGTGGCTTCACTGTCATTTAATCCAGCCTTCCCAGCGGGTCCGATCATTTACTATCAGAATAATGTCACTGATGTCCCATCAGCAGCAGCTGCCCAGGATCGCTTCATCCCACAGGTCCCACACGCCCCTGTCCTGCGCGCTTCCCTTGCCCGGGGGCTGCTTCTCTCGGCGGGACCGGCTTCTCCATTTGGGGGCGCCCTGCTCTCCGTCGCTCCTCCCACCTTCTCGCGTTTCCTCGCTCGCTGGCGCCCCCTCCGCCCTTCTCCCCTCCTCTCTGCAGGCCTCTCCCTCCGCACCACGCTTCTTCTGCCGCCGCTTTGCTCGGCGCTCCAGGCCGAGGTCGCTGCCCTCCTCCCCGGACCTTCTCCTCCGGCCTCGGTCCCGATGGTCCCGGTCGCCCGCCTGATGCGCGCGCGAGCGCGGACGGCCCTCCCGGAGGCGGCGGCTGGCAGCATCTCCGTCTCGTGCTGCGTGGGTGCCAGGGGTCCCGCCTCGCGCAGGTGGGCTTGGAAGCCACGCGTTTTTGAAGAAATAGTGGTTTTTCTGACCGTGGATTAGAGATTCCAGGCGTGGTGCGGGGCGATGGATCTTGGGCCATCGGGGTGCCGGGCTGCCCACTGTTCTCAGCCTTTTGTGGGAACCCGGGAACGCGTGGGCGCTCCTGCAGGGGAGTCCGGGCTCCAGCATGGGGGGTTCGGGCGCAGTGCGGTGCCTGTCTCCGCACGCACAGCCCGCTGTCACCTTCCTAAAGCAGGTCTCTGGTCGCAACCCTCTGGCTTTCTGCTTCCTAATATAGTCTTCGAGTTCGTGCTGGAAAGCGTTATAAGTCGTAGAGTTTTCCATTCTGTGGACTATGGACGAATCTCTGTTGGGGAAGATGAAGGAAAAACCTTTCGGTTAAATGCATTATTTTGCTATGAATGTATTTGCCATGAAAAGGTCAGGTTCTCAGATCCCTAGTGGAGATTATACTATGTTCATATAGGTAAACACCATGTAGACATTGATGCTGAAAATGAATATTTTTTTACACAGACTGAAAATAATAAAAGAAATGGACTAAGAAAATGAGTCTTAAGACACTGTAAATTTAGGACCTAGACATATATAATAAGTGTATAAGATAAATCAGTAGTTATCCCTAGGGTTTGGGGATTATGGATAATTTTAGTTTTTCTTAATTACACTTGGATTTTTTGTTGTTGTTGTTGCCATAAATACTATTACTTACGTAATAAAGATGAGAGCCGGGCTTGTGTGACTCAGTGGTTGAGCATTAACCCATGAACCGAACCAAGAAATCCCTGGTTTGATCCCTGGTCAGGGCACATGCCCAGGTTGTGGGCTCGATCCCCAGTGGGAAGCGTGCAGGAGGCAGCTGATCCATGCCTCTCTCTCATCAACGTTTCTATCTCTCTATCCCTCTCCCTTCCTCTCTCTCTAAAAAAATCAGTAAAAGCATATTTTTAACAAAATAAAAAAATAAAAATAAGAAACTCAAGTCATTTTAAGAAAACCAAAATAGAATGTCAAGCAACTAAATTAAACTAAGAATCACTCATAAATTCTATAAAAACAGAACTGGCTGGTCCCTGTGCTTATGTGCCAAGAAAGAAATAGGGGTCACCGACATGCTCCCATTCCACACACATGATGTGTGTATGTATACATACTATTTATATGTCACTATGTGTGTGTGTGTGTGTGTATATATATATATATATATATATATATATATATTAATCTCATGACTGGGGTGAAAGAACAGAGGAAGATGCCATTTACTGTGTTAAAATCTGGACCTATTATTTGTTTTACAAATGAGGAAACTGAGTCACAGAGTTTAAATAATTCATTTAAGGTCACAACATTGAAGAGCGAAGATTTGAACCCAGGCAAAGGAGCTTCAGAACTTCGTGTAAACAACTCCGATAGTGCTACCAGCCTTACAGGTGTGAGGACTAAAAGAGTGATTACAAATGCAGGGCTTGGAACAGTGCTGGGCACCAAGCAACAGGTCAGTGACTATTAGCTATTAATATTCTCATGAGGACGCTGGAATGAGAGCCAGAAGCATTTAATGTGTAACTGGTGGTCTATTCTGAGAAATTGTCTCCATTTTCCTTCATTGTTTTTATTAGTCTTCCCATTTAACCAAAACTAATACGTGTTTGTGCTAGTTTTTAAAAAAATTACAACAGCAATTGCAAAATCCATTTCTCTGATGCCACCCTCTAATGGGTATAACATATCATGGTGTTACTGCAGACTTTTATCTGAACTCTGACCCAGCAGCCAACAGGTGTGAGGTCAGATTGTACATTCTAGTTTGCAAGTCAGTTTTTCTTTCCAAATAATATATTTAGACCCATTTTTTGTTTCAGTGCATAAAGGATCTACCTCATTTTTAAGAGGGTTGCTTAGTGTATCCGGGCAGGTAAGGACCATGATTTAAAATAAAATAAAATAAAATAAAATCCTGCCCTCGCTGGTTTGGCTCAGTGGATAGAGCGTCAGCCTGCGGACTGAAGGGTCCTGGGTTGGATTCTAGTCAAGGGCACATGCCCAGGTTTCGGGCTCGATCACCAGTAGGGGGCATGCAGGAGGCAGCCGATCAGTGGTTCTCTCTCATCACTGATGTTTCTATCTCTCTCTCCCTCCCCCTTCCCCTCCAAAATCATTAAAATGAATGAATGAATGAATGAATGAATAAATAAACAAACAAACCTCCTGCAAATTTAGGTTGCTCCTATCTTTCAGCTCTGGCCAGCAAAGCAGCTGTGTTTTGCATACACTGAGTATCTGAGGCCCATGTGGCTACATAGGGTGCCAGCTGAGAGGTGAGGCTTTGGAGCCAGGGTCTGGCCTGTCTGATCCTAAAACATCCTTCCCTAAAGAGAACCTGCAGTTTGACTGAATTTGCCAGGGGAGTGGCTTAGTTTTTTGTTTTAAATATATTTTATATTGATTTTAGAGAGGAAGAGAGATGGAGAGATGGAAACATCAGTGATGATAGAGAATCATTGATCTTATGCCTCCTGTATGCCCCCTACTGGGGATCGAGCCCACAACACGGGCATGTGCCCTGACGGGGAATTAAACCATGACCTCCTGCTTCATAGTTCAACACCTAACCACTGAGCAACACTGGCTGGGCAGTGTAGAGGGTGTTTTGGTTCTGGGTTCTGGGGAGGTGAAATGGAATTTTAGAGAGGACTCAGGTCACTTCCTGAATATGGAAGGCTGAGGAAGAATGGAAAAGCAGACAGTGAAGATTTGTTAGTGCTAAATGGTGGCCAAGTGTCCAGAGTGCCGGCCAGAGAGGAAGGTGGTGGAATGCTAACACAGGGCTCACCCACAGGTACCGACCGGCTGGGGCTGGGTTTCAGCAACCCTGCTCCTGGTCCGCGTGCCTTTGGGCTGATGTTGCCTGAAGCCAGGCGAGTTGCTTACTCATGTGTCAACTTCCATAACTGTCTTGTTCTCTCAGGGCCGTCTGTTTCCTCATGTGTGGTGTACCTGTGGTGTGAGTTGCAAACTGGTGTGACATGTTATGTTCTTTGCCCACCCGCCCGTGACACATGTTCAGTGAGCATGTGCCCTGAGCCAGGGGCTATGCTTGGTACGGGACACATATGAGAACTACACAGAGGTATTCTCTGCTCTGGGGAAGCTTATAGTCTAGTGCAGTGATTTTCAACTTTTCATCCCATGGCACACATAAACTAACTACTGACATTTTGTGGCACACCAAAAAAAGGTATAATTTTGACTTATTCACATTGATGGCCATTGTGTGTTGGCTGTTGTTGTTGCTTTAAAATACGTTTTTATTGTTTTTGGAGAGAAGCGGGGAGAGAAAGAAACATCCATCAGTAGCCTCTTGCATGCCCCCTACTGGGGATTGAGCCTCGAAACCTGGGCATGTCCCTGCCCGGGAATCAAACCTGCGACCTCTTGGTGGTCATGGGACCGACACTCAACCAACTGAGCCACACCACAGGGCTGTTGTCCTTTTTTAACTTCGACAATAAGGGAAAAGCGGTCAGTGCCCCTGGCTAAATAATCAGGTACTGCATGTTTTAAAAATTCTTGAGGCACACAAGTTGGGAATCATTGGTCTAGCGTGGTGGCCAGACAACGTACACCCCACTCAGATATGTAAAACCAGCATGGCAAGTGCTGGTAAAGAGAGGAGAGTCCAGGCTGTTTCACAGGGAGGAGGATGGGGGAGGGAGGGGGCTGGGGGAAGGGGTGTTGGGCAGTGCTCCTGTCTATCCCACCCATGCAGGCCCTGCTTAAATAGGCCTCAGGTTGGCAGAAAATCTACATACAGTCAAGTCTGGCCCATTTTGCCTACTAAACACCCTGGAATTTACTCCCTGTCGTCCATCCTCTCTGCTGCTTCCCCAGTCCAAGCCCCATTTTCTCTCACCTGCGGCACAAGTCAGCCTTCATCCACTTTGACCCACCCTTCGAGCCATGCTCCAGGCAATAGCCAGAGGAATCTTTTAAAAGTCAATCTGATTATGTCTGCTCCAGCCAAACCACTCATGTTTCTTATTGTTCTAGGATAGTTCTTACTAAGCCCCCAGGCCACCCGCATTTGGCCTCTACCTAAGTCCTCAGTCTCTTAGACCAGCCACAATTGCCAATCCCCCCCACACACACTCCCCCTACGTTTTTCTAGCCTATTAAATCCAGGCTCCCTCCAGCCCTGGAACCTCAGCTCAGGTTGTTCCTGGTGTCTCTACCCCCAAGCCCTTCCTCGTCAGCTTCTACCCTTCATGTCTTCTCGGTTGTCACTTCCCGGCCTGCTCCCTCGGCCTGTCCCATGCCCCTCTCAGCTTTGTCTTCCTGGTTGGGATGCTCTGTGTTAAGAACACGGCCCACTAGAGAGTAGGAAGCAAACTTTGCAAAAAATCCATCCAGTTGAAATCCAGTTCTCTGGGGCACTTCCCTCCGCTTAGGGCTCTCCTCCCAGAACCAGGAGGGTCCAGTCCATCTTTCTCCAAGGGAACTTGTGGGAAGTTTGGGGAGCTTGCTCTCCCTGCAGGCTCCCCATCTCCATTCAGACCAGACCACAGGAGGTGAAGTACGGTAGCAATCATCTCAGATTGAAACTGTAGTTTAACTCTAACCCTGTTGTTTGGCTTAACAATAGAAAAGTTACTTTGATTTTCTGAATTGTATAAATCATCCCATTCCATTGAATGCCTTATTGATTGTAACGTGACTATCCCATTGATTGTGATCTTACTGGTTATCGAAGCACATTCTTCTGTACCTGGGAAACAGGACAGCACAATTATCCTAAATTGTTTTAGTGGCCACAGATAATGCGTTCCAGTTGACTCACTGGTCCCAAGACCAGGACAGCACAATTACTCTAAATTACCTCAATGGCTCTAGTCTAGATAATGAGTTCCTGGCAACTCAATGGTCTGGAGACCCAAGGGCTCTAGACCCAAAACTGTAATTTAGATAATATGCCTAAGTTTAACCCAGGTTAAACTTAGATAAGGGCTCTAGATAAGGTGTTTCTGTCAATTCAGTGACCCCGAGACCCAAAACTATAATTAACATGCTTAATTCTGCTTCTGTAAACTGCTTTTTTGCAAACCAGGTTCCTCATTCCAAACCTTGAGATGTAATCAATACCTTTGTGATCTTTGCCTATATAAGTCTGGTTTTGCCACCATCTTAAGACTAAGAGATTTGGGGAATGGCCCCTCATAGTCCCGGATTGCAATAAATGTGACTCTTGAGGCGTCCTTCTGTGATTCGCAGGGTACATTACAACAGAGGTCTCCCCTGTACCCTTTCTTTCCCCACACCTCACAGGCAATGCCATCAGCTGGTCAC